AGAACCACAGTGACAGAGGTCGGTGGGCAGCACGACTCGGGAAGGCTGAGCACTTGGACCCTGGGCGGGGAGGCTGGCTCCCCTCCTACTGCGTGTCTGTCCTCAAAGACATAGTCATAACCACCCAGCCCCTCCACCTTCAGCAAGTGGCCCCCTGGATGCACCCTTCCTCCCAACACGCCCCCACCCCCACCTCCTGGGCATTGCTCTCATCATGGGTCCTGCTCTCTGCGGCCCATCTGGTGCCTCTCTCAGCCTCCCAGCTCAGGGGCACATGGTAGCCCCATGACCAAGGTACCTGTAGGGTGCAAGGCAAGCTGCTTACCAGCTTCAGAGGCCCCGAGGACCACCAGGCATCCTCTCATCCCTGACATTCCCCCTACCCTCGACACCCACCTTGCACTGTGCTGGGCTGCGTGGGATTATCCCATCCCACTTTCCACTCCTAAGGCTCCCTCGCCTCCCGCACCACTCCCACTGCCTCAAGGGTCATTTGCTCTAGGAGGCCTGTCTTTGACCTTCTTCCTGACCTCTCAAAAGCCCTGGGGACCACTAGGCAAACCAGGTATCAATGTGGTTCCTGACAGTGCAGCTCCACACAGTGATGGAATCCCCTCTGTGTAGGTGGCTGAGAGGCAGCAGCAGCCCACGCCTCACCGGATTATTGTGAGGGCTGTTACCACACCTGCAGCAGGCAGGCAGCATCGAGAGCGGCACGCAGGCCCCCTACACTCCACAAAGCGGGGCCTCACAATCACTGCCTGCTGGCACACACGGCTTCCCAGTGCCAAGAGGAAGACGCCCAGTAGCAGGGCCTGCCACGGCAATGGCCCCCAGCCCAAACCCTGCTGGTGTCCCTGGCTCAAGGCTCCTCACACCGAGCCATTACTGGTCAGGCCTTACCAGCGTCTTCTCCCCTCTACAGCTCACCTAGACTCTTCTCCCAGGGAGCCCTCCTGGACTGAGCAAGTGCTGCGCTGGAGCCCCTCTCCCTGTCTGTCAGATACTCCTAAGGTGACCTGAGCTCTTCCTGGGATGAGGGTGCACCCAGGAGGGGTTCAAGTCTGAAAGGAGGCTGGGCCCAGCAGGAGTGCTGGGAGCCAAGATTCCTGCCCTGGGGTTTCCAGCCCAAATGGCATCAGTAAGCACCCAGAGAGCAGGCACAAAGGCCACACTGTGTACCACGTGGCATCGGCTGGGCCTTGCTCTCTGTGCTGCCTCTGTGGGGACCGCTTTCCCCTCGCTCTTCAGTTTGCTGGCTCCTTCTCAGTGCTCACTAACACCTCCCTTAAGGCCAGGCACGGTGGCCCACACTTATAATCCCAGCACTTTGTGAGGCCAAGTCGGGTGGATCATATGTCGGGAGTTGGAGACCAGCCTGGCCAACATGGTGAAACTCCATCTCTACCAAAAATACAAAAAATTAGCAGGCCTGGTAGTGGGTGCCTGTAATCCCAGCTACTCAGGAGGCTGAGGCAGGATAATCACTTGAATCCAGGAGGCGGAGGTTACGGTGAGCCAAGATCATAGAACCACTGCACTCCAGCCTGGGCGATGGTGAAACTCCATCTCAAAAAGAAATAAAAAACACCTCGCTCGAAACTCCCTCCCCGACTCCCCCTTAATTAAGCCAAGACCCCCTACATTCTCCCTTTCAGCCCATATGCGCCCTGACCACTCCTGCCCAGTCTGTGACGATGCCAGGATGCCTAGCACTGAGCAAAACAGCCATTCCTAACTAAGGAGATGGGCACAAGCCACAAATGTTTATTGCAGAAATCTGGCCAAGGTTACAACTGCAGGGCCCTGGCACGGGGCTGGGCAGGTGGGATAGGGAGGGGTAGAGGGAGTGATCTGGCCCAGGGCCTCAGAGCTGCGAGATGATGTTGGGTGCTAGGCTGCAGGTGAGGCCTGTGCCATCCGGTTCCACATTCAGGGCCTTCACTATGCCATCCTGTACCACCATGGAGAATCTGCCAGAAAGACAGGCCCAGACAGCTGCATCAGCCTGGGCTTGGAGGCAGAGCATGGAGACAGGCAGTGAAGAGCCAGGGGCCCAAGAGAACCCCACAGAGGACTCCTCCCCACAAAGGACTCTCCCCCATAGAGGACTCCCCCCAACAGAGGACTCTCCCCCCCACCAGAGGACTCCCCCCAATAGAGGACTCTCCCCCCACAGAGAACTCTCCCCCCACAAAGGACTCTCCCACTTTCACCTCTTGAGACGTCGATTCCCAAAGATGGACACCAACGAATCATCTAGTAATAAGTCTGTCTCCTAAGAGGAGACAAAGAAAAGTGTCAGAAACCCCTGAGGAGGCCAAGGGCCCCCACTGCTCCCCACACTGCTATATCCCTGTCGAGGCTGGGGGAACACAGAACACTCACCTTCCCAAAGGCCCCAGTGGGGTCAGCCAGGAGCCGAACCTGCAGAGAAAGGAAACATCACAAGAAGAATCTCCTACCTGGCCCTGACTCCCTGCAGTCCCGCAGCTCACCTTGCCTTCCGCCTTGTGGGCTCGGCCCCACTCGCCAGTCACAAAGGCATCATTCACACTCAGGCACGCCACCACCTGGACTCCCTTGGCCTTCAGAGCCTCGGCCTGCTCTACAAACCCTGGCAGGTGGGTCTAGGGAAGGGAAATAAAGGGTCAGCAAAGGGATAACTATATCTGCCCCCCAACCCACCCTTCATCTCCAGGCCCTCCTCACTGCTCTGCCTCAACAGCTTTGATCAAACAATGAGGGCTGTCTAAACCATTCTATTTCCTTTTTGCCTTGGCCACTAGGAAGCTCAGAATGAAACTTAATGCCTTCTGGTCCAGAATATGAACTTCCCATGGGCAAAACTATGTCTTATTTATCTGAGTCCCAAGCACCTTCCACAGTGCCTGTCATTTAGCAAGACCAACAGGGGTGCTGGATTTCATTGCAGAAAGCTTTTCGCCAGCATTCCTGGTGCTGCTCCCTTCTCACAGCCTCTACCTGTTTTCCAGTAGCACTGAAATGCTTTTTGCCTTCCTGTTAGGACTATGTGGAGGACTTCAGAGCAACACAAAACATCCCAGGTCCTGGTCCTCAGAAGGGAAGGGCCTCACCTTGGAACAGCCAGGGGTGAAGGCCCCGGGAACTCCGAACAGCACACCCTTCTTGCCCTTAAACAACTCTGCCAGGTTCACCTTGTTTCCTGGCTCCCCTTCAAACACCTCCACTGCTGGGATGGCATCTCCCACCTAGAAGGAAGGACTCCAAGGTAAGGGCAGTGAGAGATCAGGGCAAACCGGAGGCGGGAAGGTGAGAACGGAGAGCCTGGCAGCTGCGCCTGCAGGAGCTAGGGCTGACGGCTAGCAGGAAACTCCAGACCTGTCAGTTTCCAGGGGCCCTCCCTGCCCGCCCGCCCGCACCAAGTTACCCCATATCCTCCAGGTTTCAAGCTGCCCCTGCTCCTCTTAAGGGCCCAGTGGTGACAACAGAGAAAGGGCAGGAAGGCCTCCCCAAGTGTCAAAAGGGTTGCATAACACTGTCTAGGTTACAGGAAAGGAGTGGGATAAATGGGCGGGGTGGTGGGTAGAGGGCTGCATTTGGGGGTGAGGAGGAGTCCCAGAAAACATGGAGGGAGAGGATCTTGGCCAGGTCTGAGGGTCCCACCCTCACGAGGAGGAAGAGGGAGGGTAGCAGCAGGTGGGAAAGTTCCGGGAGGGTGTCCAGGCCCCTACACCCAGGACGTGTAGAACAAAAGAAGGAATCTCTTGAAGGAGGAAGGATCCGTCTCCCCGGAGTATTTGAGGGCTTCCTGGGGCCAGAGTGGGTAGGAAGAGAGTCAGAGGTGCCGGAGTCTCTGAGGAGCCCGGCGTTGGGAGCAGGATGAAGCAAACAGAAGGGGGTCTCACCAGGGTTTGGGAGGAACAGGGGGAAGGTCCAAGGCCCTGGGGACGGTTCCAGGAGATGAGGGAAAGAGGAGGCAGAGGGTGGGAATTTGCCATAGGAGGAGGGAAGGCCACCGAGTGGGATAGGGGAAGCCCCTGCGACGTCGCTGAGGGACAGCTGTTTCAGAAGACAGATGGGGAAAATCAGGCCGGGCGCTGTGGCTCACTCCTGTAATCCCAGCACTTTGGGAGGCTGAGGTGGGCGGATCACCTGAGGTCGGGAGTTCAAGACCAGCCTGGCCAACATGGTGAAATCCCGTCTTTACTAGAAATACAAAAATTCGCCGGGCACGGTGGCTTGCGCCTGTAGTCCCAGCTACTCAGGAGGCTGAGGCTGGAGAATCGATTGAACCCAGGAGGTGGAGGTTGCAGTAAGCCGAGATCGCGACACTGCACTCCAGCCTGGGCGAATGAGACTCTGTCTCAGAAAAAAAAAAAAAAAAAAAATGCCTCGGGACTGTCCCAGAAGGTGAGGCCCCCCACCATTGGAGAGAAGGGTGGGCAGCCACGCGGGCCTTCTGTGGGGATGAGAGGGGCAGGCGGCGGGAGGGGTCCGGCAGGCAGGAAAGGTGACACCCCCAGACCAGCGGGACAGGGGTTGGCACGGGGAGAGTGGGGGATGTCAGGCCCGGCTGGGCCAGCGGTCACCTTGATCGGGGCCATGGCTGCAGCGACTCTGCTGAAACTGCGGACCCCGCCAGACGCCCACCCTCCTTCACCTCGCCGTCTTGCTGCCGCTCTCGCTGCGGCTGCCGCTCCCGTTGCCACAAACTGACCGGCGGCCCCACCAAAGAGTACAAAACCCGCTGGGCGTCTCAGGACGCACAGTGTGGCTAGTCCCATACCCGCCCCAAGGCTACTTCCACTCCGCCCCCTGGCTGGAGCCACCGCAGCAGGCGGGGCACAGCTGGAAGCGCAGCGGCGATAGCCGGCGGAAGGCGGGCCGGGACCTCTTCCACTGCGCAGGCGCGAGCGGCTACGCGCCGAACAGATCCTGTAGGACCCTAACTTCATTTGCATTGGGGCTGGACCGCAGACGCAATTATAAATGGGGCGGAGTTTTCGGCAGTGGAGCCTCTAATTTGCATACAAGAATGAGGTGCCGCTTGGCTTCCATGGGCCTAATTTAGATGGGGCAGTGCTTCTGCTCCTTAACCGAAAGCGGGATACAGAAGACGACGGTGTCAGGGGCCTCTGTAGGGTAAAACATGTTTATTTTGCGTTCAACGAGAGCCTCTGCATTGCAGCTATTTTGCATATAATTTGCATCTTACGTAGTCTTTGTGGCAAAAAAAACAAAAAACAAAAAACTGGGCGTGCGCCGTAGCAATCTCCTGCTAAGACGCTTCCGGTAGCAGCGCGTGACCGGACAGGTCTTTCACCTACCTACCTCGGCTCCCTTAAGCACGAGAAGTTCCGGCAAGTTCACCACTTCCGGTTCTTCTAGCCATCCAATAGCATTGAGTGGCGCATCCTCGGAAGTGACGCAAGCGGAGGACGACCTTCTTCCGGTTCCGGCCTGGAGAAAGCTCGTGAGGAGACATGAAACTGCTCACCCACAATCTTCTGAGCTCGCATGTGCGAGGGGTGGGGCCCCGAGGCTACCCCCTGCGCCTCCAGGTACCCGCCGGCGGCGGTCTCTCCTCTCTTCGGGCGGGGTGGTGGACCGGGGCCCAGTGCTTGCCTAACCAAACTTCCACTCCGCAGGCCACGGAGGTCCGCATCTGCCCCGTGGAGTTCAACCGCGAATTCGTGGCGCGTATGATACCCAAGGTGGAGTGGGCGGCGTTCCTGGAGGCGGCGGATAACGTGAGGATACTTCCCCCGCCCGAGCATATCCCGAGGAGTGGGGGCGGGCACACCTCAGCCGGACTGAGGCGGGAGTTCGGGATGCCAGGAGGTAATTTCGGCCTCTTGCCCACAGTTGCGCCTGATGCAGGTGCCTAAAGGGCCGGTTGAGGGGTATGAGGAGAATGAAGAGTTTCTGAAGACCATGCACCACCTGCTGCTGGAGGTGAGACGCGGCCCATCACCTGCTTCCCGGGCCACCTGCCTCCCGCAGAGGCTGCCAGTGCTCAGCTCTGTCCCTCCCCGCCCGCAGGTGGAAGTGGTGGAGGGCACCCTGCAGTGCCCGGAGTCTGGACGTATGTTCCCCATCAGCCGCGGGATCCCCAACATGCTGCTGAGTGAAGACGAATCTGAGAGTTGATTGTGCCAGGAGCCAGTTTTTTTTGTTACGACGGTGTGTATTTTTGTTGCGTATCCCCAACCCTTGACACAGTAACACACCAAACACACAGTGCTCTTGAGCTCCATAGTATATATTTTTTTCTCATTAAAGGTTCAAAACCAAAAGCGGTTTCTCTTTGCAGCAAATATACATTAAAATAGAGTCTCTGTACAGCCAAGGGCTCTGGGCCCTGGCTTGCCCCATGTCCCTGCGCCTCCCTGGCCAAACCCAAAAATAAATATAGTGTTATTGCTCTGCAGGGCATAGAGGCAGTGCTCTCCTACCCCCTGAGGAGGCTGGGTGGGAGCTGATGGGGAAGCCCTGGCCACCCCAGGGGTCCAGGGGCTGGAGCCTGCTTGGAGTTATTGCTTCAAGGGGGGGGCACTAATGCCCAATGCAAATGATGAGAAGAGGAGCGAAGGTAGCAGGGGCCTTTGCTCTCCAATTCCCGCTCTGCTCTGGAGAGGGGTAGGATTAAGCAGCAGCAAAAGCATCACCCACTGGGAGACTGTGGCCTCCATCCCCTTCCCTCCCTGAGATAGGCTTCTGCCTCCCACACATCCCCTGCAGCCCACTATGGCTTCCGCAAGGCCCCCTGCACTCTGGGGGCACGTTATGGCTTGCAAGGGGCAGCACTGTGCCCAGAGCCTGGACACAACGTTCCCAGCTTCTAATGCCCCCTAGGAGGGGGGAGGGGAGGGCGTGGGGCCTGCTCCCAGGGGCTGATGGCATTGCCCTGGCCCTGCCAGCAGGCTGTGGCACTGCCCAGATCCCAGCTCCGCCCCAGCCCTTGGGGCTGACCCCATGCTGGGCAGATCCTGCCAAAACCCCCACCAGTTCCACCCCTTGCCTTAGTCCATCATGGCCTCGAGCATCTCCAAGAACAGCTTGTGCATGGGCACCTTGCCCTCCAGCTTCACCCCATAGAAATGGGCCAGCACTTTGCCTGCTGTCTGGCGGAGGAGCGGTAGCGTGAGCAGCAACCTGCCTGCCCGCCGCCGCTCAGCACCCCCTCCGGGGCCAGCCCGGCCGGCTTCATACTCCAGCAGGGCCTCGTGCAGGGCTTCTCGCAGCTGCTCCACAGCCTCGGCATCTTCAATGTGCACAGAGTCTGCAAGGAAAGGAGCATGCTGCTGGCCTGGACTATCCCTGGCAAGGGCACTCCCCACATCTGCTTGAGCACTGCTAGATGGGGCCTAAGGAGGAGCCAAACGAGGATGTGTTGATTGGCTTGACTGAGGGGCACCATTCATGGCTCCAGCCCATGAGCCAGGGCCCCACCCTTTCTCCCTCAACTGTGGCCACCTTGTACCCTCCTCACCTTCCCTCCCACTAAACTTGGCCTTTCTGCATGTGCAGTTTGGAGCCTACACTTGGCTTGCTTTTTGACTCTCAGCAAATCATTGTTCTTCCCTAAGCCAGTTTTCCTTATCTGCAAAATGGGACTGTGACACCATCACTGAGCTAAAAACCTGAAGACCTTATGAAGAGACCTGTTAGTGCCTGCCCCAGGCTCACCTGAATTGGCAAGGGCCAGGGCCTTCAGGAGGACATACTCCTCTCGCTCCAATCGGAGGGCCTGCAGTCGCCGCACCAGCTGCAGCAGCGCAGCCCCTAGTTCCCCTAGGCCAGCTGCCCGAGCCCCCTCTTCATCCAGGACTAAGTCCTCAGCGAAGGCCAGCTCATCCTGCAGTGGCAGTGAGCGCTGGGCCACACCCAGCACCAGCACCTCCATCCACACGCTCTGCAGTACTGACATCTGGTCAGACAGCGACAGCGATGAGAAGCCTAGAGGGGAGTGGGCCTGGCTAAGCGAGCGCAGCAGAGCCAACTCGTTCAGCGTGGCCCCAGGTCACGTGGGTCCTTTACCTGGGATGCTCTTGGCCCAGCTGATGGTGACCACAATCTCTCGGTCAAAGAGGTCACAGAGGGTAGCCACGGCTGGGAGGTGCCCATCAGGGCCCGCAGGGTCAGGCATGGCATAGAGTTTCTCAGGCTCCACGACCAGCAGATGAGACACCAGTGCATTCACTGGGGCTGTGGCAACAATTAGAGGACAAGCGTCAGGAGCACTCGAGTCTGTTAAGCCTCCGGGGTCAAGCATCCTCCCAGAGCCGCTCCCACTGTGGCCGTCCTCAGTAAGCAGCTGGCTAGCAACTTCGCTCCAGGGAAGAGCACTGACTGTCTCCCAGGGAAAGCCTGTCTATTGTGGACAGGTTGTGAGTGTTGGAAAATCTGTACCTGTTCCCAGACATACTGCTGCAGGAAAACGCATTTTAGAATGTCTTGGGGGAAATGAATGAGTGAAGAGATGAAGGGGAAACACAGGTCCCAGTGCCCAAGGTAACTGTGATGCCACACACAGGCCTCTCGTGTCCTAACCCAGGGACCCACAGTGCTCTCACCTGTCTTCCGGGGGCCTCCAGCTACTGCCAGGGGCCCAGCAGGGAAGGGGCCTGGGAAGGGCAGCGGGTCCACCTCTGGCCGCCGCTTGTACTTCTGCCGCCCACCCCGGACGCGGTCCAGGCGTACTCCTTGAATTGTGGGACAGACAGTGACTGTGGGGTAGGGGCAGGGTGGGGCTTGCTCTCCAGAGCTTTCCTCCCCCAGGCCACTCACCAGAACTCCCAAACCTCACCCCCACCTGGGCCAGGCCCTGCTCCCCCACCCCTCACCCAGCCCCTGCCCAGCGCTCACCCTCCTTGAGCATGCCCACCCGCAGGCACTTGGTGAAGCGGCAGGCCTGGCAGGCCTTGCGTCTCCGCTTGGTGATCTCACACTCATTGGAAGCTGGACAGCTGTACTCGATGCTCCCTGCCAGGAAGAGGCAGGGCTCCAGTGGCGGCCTTTCAGGGCCAGGAGGGGACCCAGCTGACAGGAGAGCTCTGACTCTCCCCGGCCAAGCACAGGTCTGGGGATATGGGGAGGAAAGGGAGACCAGGTGGCCATAAGCAGGCAGGAAGGGGAGCAACTGCTAGGTGGTGGGGCCCTGCCTGGACAAGGGAGGAGCTGGACCAGGCAGCTGGGCTACATATCGGCCCCAAGACTCATCTCTGGACCACACTGCCCTCACCTGCTGACAAGGGCCACAAGGGTCTCTGCGTTGCTAAACCCAGTGGTCAGTTCTCAGTCCTCATGTTACTTGGTTTAAAATGAGCATCTAAGGCCGCTGGTCACTTCCTGCTCCTAGAAATACTTAAAGACCTTCTTTTGCTTCTAGGACACCATACACTGGTTTTCCTCCCACCGCGCTGGCCACTTAGTGGTTTATGTACATCTCCCCGATCTCTTCCATCCGGAACTCCAGGGCTGTCCTTGGAGCTCGTCTCCAGTCCCATGGCAATCTTCCCCAGCTGTGCGGCTCTCACAGTTCTACCTCGAGCCTGGACCTGCTGTGAGCTCCAGACTCAACTCTCAGCTGCCGCCTCGACATCCTGCATGTCTAGAAGGCACCTCAGATGAACACAGCCTACATGGACTCCACTTGTTCATTTGGCAGCATCTTTGGTTCCTCTCACACCCCACATCTAAGCCATTGACACATTCTGGCAGGTTTTACCTCCTCCTAGGTCCAGAAGCCACCTCCTGCGTCTGGCAACTGCTTCCACCCTCGACCCAAGAGTCACTGTCACCTCGCCCCTGCTGGCCTCCTGCTCTGTCCCCTGCTTGCTCCAGTCTATTCTCAACACAGCAGCCAAGAGGGTCCTATTAAAACTCCATCACACCTTGTACCTCCTCTGCTCAAAACCCTCGGGGGATTCCCTTCTCAGAGTCGAAGCCAAAGCGAACCCACGTCCTCCCAAGCCTACGCCCCTGCTCCTTGCCATCTTTTTTTTTTTTTTTGAGACAGAGTCTCTCTCTGTCACCACGATGGAGTGCAGTGGCACCATCTTGGCTCACCACAACCTTCACCTCCCGGATTCAAGCAATTACCCTGCCTCAGCCTCCCGAGTAGCTGGGATTACAGGCGTCCACCACCACACCCGGCTAATTTTTGTATTTTTAGTAGAGACAGGGTTTCACAACATCGACCAGGCTGGTCCTGAACTCCTGATCTTGCCTCAGCCTCCCAAAATGCTGAGATTACAGGCATGAGCTACCGCACTTGGCCCCTTGCTGCCTTTTAACCTCTGCTCCCTCCTTTGGCCTCCTCCATGTTCCTCAAACAGGCCCTGCCTAGAGCTCTGGTCCTGAGGTCCACACAGGCTCCCTCACCTTCAGATCTCTGCTCCCTATCACCTTGAGAAGACTTTCCTGGTCACCCTGTGACAATGCCAAATCCCTTTACAGAGCCCCCCCTGGCCTCTGAACCTGCTTATGATTTCTCTTCAGCCCCGAGCCCCACAGAGCATGCACAACCTGTCTTGTTTATTACACCTCCCCCTTCTGTGGCAGCTCCACCGGGGCAGTTACTGCACTAGCAACAGGGCCTGGCACATAGTGGATGCTGGCGGCCCTCCCAGCCTCACAGGCCCCGCAAAGACCAAATGACACAGCCAGCCAGCAGGCCAGCAGCATGTTTCTCCTCGAAATGCATTTTCTCCTACCCCCTATTTGGGCTTCTGAACTAGGCTCAAGACACCATAGCCGGACACTCAGGCCTGTAATCCCAGCACCTTTGGAGGCTGAGGCGGGCGGACCACCTGAGGTCAGGGGTTTGAGACCAGCCTGGCCAACATGGCAAAACCAACTCCCTAGTAAAAATACAAAATTAGCTGGGAGTGGTGGCTCATGCCTGTAAGCCCACCTACTTGGGAGGCTGAGGCAGGAGAATTGCTTGAACCTGCGAGGCAGAGGTTGCAGTGAGCTGAGATCATGCCACTGTACTTCAGCCTGAGCAACCAGAGTGAAACTCTGTCTCAAAAAAAAAAAAAAGGTTGAGCACAATGGCTCATGCCTGTAATCCCAGCACTTTGGGAGCTCTGTCTCAAAAAAAAAAAAAAGGGGGCTGGGCACGGTGGCTCATGCCTGTAATCCCAGTACTTTGGGAGGCTGAGACGGGCAGATCACCTGAGGTCAGAAGTTCGAGACCAGCCTGGCTAACATGAAGAAACCCCAACTCTATTAAAAATACAAAATTAGCCGGGCATGGTGGCACAAGCCTGTAATCCCAGCTATTTGGGGGCTGAGGCAGGAGATCACTTGAACCTGGGAGGCAGAGGTTGCAGTGAGCCGAGATCATGCCATTGCACTCCAGCCTGGGCAACAAGACCAAAACTCTGTCTCAAAAAAAAAAGACACTTCCTCAGGGAAGCCCTCCGGAGCCTCAGAACCAGCCCCTTCCCCTGCCATATCCCTAACACCTCCCCTTCCTGTGCATACCTGTAATAAGACAAGCCTGTGCAACTCACTGCTGGCCAGCTCTCCACTCTGCCAGAAAGTAAACTGCCTGAGGGCAGAAACAGCCCTGCTGTGTCCCCAAAGGCCCGGAACACTGGCCAGGACAGCAAAGCACAGGTCCGTGCCGAGCAGAGATTCTGGCTACCACATATCTTTATGACCTTGGGCAAAGTCCCATACTTAACCCCTTGAGCCCTCAGTTTTCCCAGCTGTAAAAGTGGGATGATAAGGAATGACCCACAGAGATGGGTGGTGAGAATGAAAGGGGATAATATGGGCAAAGCATCTACCATGGTTCTGAATTCTAGGTGCTCAGTATACAATTCCTATCCATAGCCAGCACTCATTAAATATTTGTCAACAGTCAATATACAGTGAAGGGCCCCAGAGTGGGTAGGAGGCACCTGCACCCGGGCCTGCTGGCTCACTGGTCTTCAGAGCAGGAAGGGTGTACAAAGGTTTAGATCAAGAATTTTGGCCAAGTAAAGCTTGCTAGGTTGGCCGGGCACAGTGGCTCCCACCTATAATCCCAGCACTTTGGGAGGCAGGTGGATCACCTGAGGTCAGGAGTCGGAGACCAGCCTGGCCAACATGGCGAAACCCCATCCCTACTAAAAATACAAAAATTAGTCGCCTGTGGTGGCGGGCGCCTGTAATTCCAGCTACCAGGAGGCTGAGGCAGGCAAATCACTTGAACCCGGGAGGCAGAGGTTGCAGTGAGCCACGACAGCACCATTGCACTCCAGCCTGAACAAGAGTGAAAGTCCATCTCAAAAACAAAAACAGAACTTGGCCGGGCACGGTGGCTCATGCCTCTAATCAAAGCACTTTGGGAGGCTGAGGTGGACAGATGGCCTGAGCTCAGGAGTTCCAGACCAGCCTGGGCAACACGGTATAATCCCATCTTTACTAAAATACAATAAATTAGCCAGGCTTGATGGTGTACACCTGTAATCCCAGCTACTTGGGAGGCTGAGGTAGAGAACTGCTTGAACCCAGGAGGTGGAGGTCGCAGTGAGCCGAGACTGTGCCACTGCACTCCAGCCTGGGCTACAGAGCAAGACTCTGTCTCCAAAAACAAAAAAAACGTTGCTGGAATGTCACAATCAGTCATTCGGCGCCTGTCCAAAGTTCAGTGTTATTAGTAATAAGCAGAGGCAGCAGTCTAACATTGAAGAGCTCAGCTATGGACCTATACTGACCCAAGTTCAAATCCGGTTCTGCCATTTCGTAGCTGTGAGACTTCAACAGCATTTCCAACGCCTCTCTTCGTCTTAGTTATAACACCTTACAGAGTTGCTATCGGGGCTAACTGAGATCATAAAAGGACACAGTGCCTAGCACAAGGTAAACATTCAATACTTTTTTTTTTTTGAGACAAGAGTGTCGCTCTGTCGCCCAGACTGGAGTGCAATGGCTCGATCTCCGTTCACTGCAGCCTCCTGGGTTCAAGCAATTCCCTGCCTCAGCATCCCAAGTAGCTGGGATTACAAGAGCCCACCACCACGCCGCCTAATTTTTGTATTTTTAGTAGAGATGGGGTTTCACCATGTTGGCCAGACTGGTCTTGAACTCCTGACTTCATAATCCACCCGCCTTAGCCTCCCAAAGTGCTGAGATTACAGGCATGAGCCACCGCACCCGGCTGATATATATATATTTTTAATTATAGGTGTTATAGCCCCAAAGTAACCAACGGCTAGGTAAAAACAGAAATAACGAAAATAACAGGCCCTTCCCAGGTAATGCTTACATCAGCATCTTGCTCATTCCCCAAATTCTAATATGCTTTCTTGAGTGAGAAAAAAATTAGTATCTGGGCAACAGAGTGAGACTGCCTCAAAAAAAAAAAAAAAAAAAATTAAAATCTTTGTGTTGGTGCTGCTTTGGCAAAATCAAGAAAAAGGGACATGTTCTATGCTGGGGAGAGGTCAGAAGCTGCCAGAAAGAAGAACAAACCTTAGGAACAGACACAGGCTGCCTTGGACTCTTTCAGAGCCACCATAGAAGGTGCGGGGCCTAGAGTACCCAGAAACCCAGGTGGTGCCCTGAGCTCACTCACATCCACTGCAATGCATCAGCATACACTGGTGCCTTCACCACACTTCTAAGGAAAAGGGTGTCTCTGGGAGGTAGAGGGCCTGGAAACGCCAGATTGTCAGCCTCAAGTGGTGGCACGACAACCTGGGGGCCTACTGCACCCAGCAGTGTACCCAGAGGATGCAGGGCAAAGGCCAGGGGAGTGGGCTGGGGGCTCACCCTGGATGGTCCTCTTGAAGAAGGCTTTGCAGGCCTCACAGGATGCCACACCGTAGTGGTAGCCGGAGGCCACATCCCCACAGACCAGGCAGAGGCGCTTGGGCAGGGAGCTGAGCACCAGCTTCCCACCACCCTGCTCGCCAGGCCCAGCCCCCTCCCCATCCTCCTCTTCCTTATGGCCTGGGAGGCAGCGGGTGGGAGCTGGACCAGGGGCAAGGGTCACAGGAGGCTCGGTCTCCGTCTCTGAGGAACCCTTTGGACTGTCGGGGCTGGCTGGCTCTGCCTTGATGTATAGAGGCTCAATGCCCACCACCTGGCTGGACATGGCGCTGGTCACCTGCAGGAAGAGACCCGTAGGTTCGCAGGGAGGCACTGGCATGGGGGATGGGAGACACCCTGCCACAGGGGTTGCCCAACCTCAGGCCTAGGGCCAGGCTTCCAGGCCCAGCAAGCAGGGAGGAAGGGGGGACAGAGTCCAAGGAAGGACTGCCCAGGCACAGGGCCCCCCCCACAGCTGTTGCCATGGAAACAGAGTCTCCAGAGCCTCCAGGGCCAGTAACTGACAGCAGGTCTCCCTCTTGGGAACCTGGGGGAGGCTTAGAAAGCCCTTACTCCCCCGCAGGCCAGGAAGCAGGGTAACCGTAGCCCCCAGGCAACCTTCAACCCCACCCGGAATCCCCAGCCAGGAGCAGGATACCTCCCAGTTTTCTCCAGATGTTCGGGGGACCTCTGAGACCCTGCCCTCATCCGGGTATTCTGCATTGGAGGGCACACACTGAAGCACAGACCCAAGGGCAGCGGCCGTGTTCACACCGAGTTCACACACTCCACTCACAGGGCTGTGCAGGGGCCCACAAGCCCACGCAGGCTCACTCTCCGCTGGGGGCCTTCACACTCGCACCAGCCTTCCCAAACTGGTGCTCACTCCTGCTCACACTTATGCTCACACACTTCTCCTGGGGCGCACACCCCATCCGCGAACTCAGTCAAGGCTCATGATCACACACACTCTCACTAGGTCCCCACGTCCACACGCACGGGCAGGGACTCGTGAAAACACCTCCAGAGCTTTTCACACCTGACAAGCGGCTGACCTCCTGCCCCAGCATGCCGATTCCAGGCACCTCCTCTGGACCGGCCTGCGCGTCCACTCTCACAGTCCCGCTGTCGCAGAGGCCGCCACCTCCCAGGGCGCCGCGCCCCGCCCCCCAACCTGCGCACACCTTTGGGAAGTTGCCTGAAGTTGCTACGCCTCCCCTCCCCCCGCGGGGACCTCTATCAGGTTATCAGGAAGTAAGTGGGGAGAGCCAAGGAGGAGGAAGTTCTCCTCAGCCGGTGCGATGACCTTTGACCCAGAGAGAAGGGTGGCCCCAGGCCCCTTCGAGCGCCCCCACGTGGTCTTCAGAGCCCCTTCCCCGATTGAGAGCCCTCCCCGTCTTCCACCCCGGCCCGCCGCAGAGACTTCGGCAAGTGCGGGATTGAACCCTGCCCCGGGGCGGGGTGGATCGGAGGCCCAAGGCTGATCCGGGCCAGGACCCGCAGCCAGAGCCAGACTCTGCCCCAGGCCGGTCCACAGGACTCGGACGCCGGATCCCGCCTGAACCCTAACCAGTCCAGCCCTCGACTGGGTCCCGACCGTGGCCCGGACTGGCCCCAGAGCTGGACCCCGCCTGCAGCCCGCCCCTCCCGCCTCCCTGCCGCGCTCGCACATGGCCCCCGCGCCCCGCCCGCCCACCCCCGAGGCAGCGCTCCCCTCCGCCCCCGGACCTCGGGCTCCGGCAGGGCTGGCGGGCAGGCATGGGGGCCGAGCGGCCCGGAATGCCGGGGTGAGCCGGGGGCCGCGGGCGGCCCCTCCTCCGCCGCCTCCTCGGGCCGCGCCGCCCCACCGCGCCGCGTCCCCTCACTTGGCGGCGCCGCCGGCTGCTTGTAGGACACAAAAGGACATCGCGGCCGCTTCCTACTCCGCTTCCTCCAGCTGACAGCGGGGGCGGGGCCCGCCGTGCGCATGCAAAGCAGGGGGCGGGGCCCGGGGGTCCTATGCTAATCAGACCAGCGGGGCGGGCGGTGCCTGCGTGCCCAGACGAGTCGGGGCGGAGCCGGCAGCGCCAGCGGGCGGGCCCTCGCGCAGGTCCCGCCCCCAAGTCCGCCGAGCCACTGCGGCGCACAGGCGTAAGCAGCCCCTGGAGAGGGGCGGGGCGGGAGACGCGGAGAGCGCGGGGAATAGAGCCGATAGCTAGTGGGGCCAGAAGCGCTCTTTCGTAACAGAAAGAGGCGGGGCGCGCTGCGCGCCAGAGGAGTGGGCGAGACAGTGCAGGCTGCAGCTGCGGAGCAGGGAGAGACCACTTACAAATGAAAACGCAAGGGCAGGACGAGTGGAGAGGCTGGACCTGCTACCTATGCTTGAGGGGCGGAGCCTAGCGCGCCTTCGCGAGGGGGGAGGTGCTGCCCCTTCCCTCTGTCCCCTTCCCCCCAAGCGACACCAACTGGGCACTCGAACTATAGACCCAGTAGCCCCACAGAGCTGCGGAACTCTTGGTGGGTGAAGCCGACCTAAAACATTGAAGATGCCCTGGATTGCGAGTCCCGGAAGGTAGGGCCGATAGGGCCCGGACGGAGAAAGCTCAAGGTCACTGCGGTGACCGAATGAAGGTCATGGGGAAGGGCGGGGCCCCGTGCGTCTGCCTCACGCGGGCTGCCATGCACTGACTCACGGATCATGCGTTGACTCTTTTATTTCTTTAGGACTCAAATTTCACTCAGATGGGGTCAGGCTGGGATTTGGGGACCTGTCATGGCACTGGGCTGGTTCGGGTCTGCCCGAGCCCAGGGTGTCCTTCTCAATCAAGTACAGCTTCTTGCTCCGGCGCTTCTTGAGCCCCTCGATGTATTGCTGCAGCTCCTGGGTCAGGAGGTGGTCCCTGCCGATCCCTAACCGGTAGCCTAGGAGGAGGGCAGAGCTCGGGTCAAGGCAGTGAGCACCTGCAAGGTCTCCCCATCAGCAGGCACCGCAGGTGTGGTTTGAAGAACTGCCGATGATTGGGGGTAGCAGCAGCACAGGGCACTCAGGTCTGTGTTCACTTGGGAAACTTTTGACTCTTTAAGGGTGCTGAGGATGGATGAGGTGGAGGATGGATGAGGTCGAGGCTAGGGAAGACGTTGCAGGCCTGAACTGGGACGGTGGTAGCGAGCAGTTTGCCCACCTTCTGGACCAGCCATCCACTCTAAGCCATCAGCCAGCCCTCTATCACTGCTGGGCTTTCGACCCCAGCAAAAGAAGTTCACCCAAATAACCCACTGTCCAAAGGCGCCTCACAGCCAGAGGGAGTCGAGGCCACACCAAGCCTGTCATCTTACTGGGCAGGTGGAGAAACAGCCACAGAAAAGCCTCCCTCAGCTAGAGAGGGGCTGTGCCCAGCCTGGAGCCCAGGCCTCTGACCATCACCATATCCCCTCCTGGGTCTTCCTGTGCCCAGTCCCTTAGCTTTTAACTTTTATGGGGCCCTTGGAATACTCATGAGTGCCAAGGGCACAGACAAAACATAAGGCAGCCTGAAACCCCTCCCCCCCGGGCCCCAGCCCTGCAAAATCAACCAGAAGCTGTGGTGGGAGCTCACTCCAGAGGGCTTCGGTGAGGACTTCCAGAGCTTCATTCTCCATGAGTTCCATCAGGGGCAGTGGCAGCTGGAGAAGCAACAAGAGGTTTAGGCCTCCAGGGGACTTCATCTCTGCCCACAGATGAAATGCCCCACCTGCTCCCTATGGCCCCTAAACCCCCTAGCAGCCTCCCTGCCCCTCCACCCTGCCAATCACCCTCAACTGGCCTATCCCCTACTCCACTGAAACTCCCAGTCTCCCTGGCCCCTCCAACCCTGTTCTGCTGCTCTGCCCAGTAGGCTCGATGGGGTATGTGCTTCGCAATATCGAGCGATGACGTTGAAGAAGACTTTTCTGGGAAAAGAGAAAAAAGGGTCAGTCATCTGCAGACTCCTGGGCCTTCCCTGGAGCAGAGGAGATGGGCAGGCACCTGGTGGGAGGGAGTGGCCCTCAGAGATCTGCTGCTAGTGCAGCTTTGGGTCAGCATGGGACAGAGGTTACAAGCCTGGGCTTTAGAGTCCCACCCACCTGGTTCCAGTTTTGACTGCCCCACAGTGTGGCACTTAGGACCAGTGACTGACACTCTCTGACCCTCAAGTTCTTCATCAGGAAAATGGGGTAATAAGAATAGCTCTTCATGGAGGTTGTGAAGTTTGAAGGTGACAATGCAGGGGAAGCCTGGTGCCTGGCACACAGCTAGTGCTCAATATGTGCCCATTGTTACTGGTTGTGATTCTCTGAAGTGGGTTGGGGGTGCCAGACAGTGCTCAGCATGTGGCAGGGGCTTAGAAATTGTAACCAGCAACTGACTAATGGAAAGATGAACACCTCCTCAACCAGCGCAAATCCTCAGACAAGGAGTTAACTCTTGCAACTGGCCAGATGATTCCATTAAAAACACAGCTTTCCCTGGGCATGGTGGCTCACGCTTGTCATCCTAATACTTTGGGAAGCCAAGTGAGACAAGCCTGGGCAACATGGCAAAATTTTCTCTACAAAAAAAAAAAGATTTGAGACAGTGTTTCGCTCTCGTTACCCAGGCTGGAGTGCAATGGCGTGATCTCGGCTCACCCCAACCTCCGCCTCCTGGGTTCAAGCAATTCTCCTGCCTCAGCCTCCTGAGTAGCTGGGATTACAGGCACGCGCCACCACGCCCAGCTAATTTTTGTATTTTTAGTAGAGACGGGGTTTCACCATGTTCACCAGGATGGTCTCCATCTCTTGACCTCGTGATCCACCCTCCTTGGCCTCCCAAAGTGCTGGGATTACAGGCGTGAGCCACCGCGCCCGACCTCAAAAAAATTTTTTTAATTAGCTGAGCAGGGTGGTGCCCGCCCATCTTCCAAGCTCGGGGTGGTGGGGGTAGTTGGGGGTGGGGAGGGTGGCTGAGGTTGGAGGATCGCTTGAGCCTAGGAGTTTGAGACTCCAGTGAGCTATGATCACAACACTGCACTCCAGCCTGGGTGACAAAGCAGGACCCCGTCTCTAAAAAAACATAAAAAGGCCGGGCACAGTGGATCAGGCCTGTAATGCCAGCACTTTGGGGGACCAAGACAGGCGGATCACTTGAGGTCAGCAGTTCGAGACCAGTCTGGGCAACATGGTGAAACTCCGTCTCTACTAAAAATACAAAAATTAGCTGGGCGTGGTGGCGCGCGCCTATAATCCCAGCTACTCGGGAGGCGGAGGTTGCAGTGAGCAGAGATTGCGCCATTACACTCCAGTCTGGGCGACAGAGTGAGACTGTCTCAAAAAAAATAAGCGGTAGGCGGGAGGATCACTTGAACTGCAGTGAGCTATAATCGCACCACTGCACTCCAACCAGCCTGGGCGACAGTGCGAGATGCTGCCTCAAAAACAAAACAAAAAACCCCGCAGGTCCTACCACGGGGTCTTTGCGCAATTTACTTAGTGAGTCCTTCCCGGGACTCCGCGCGCGACGACCGAAAGGCCTGTTACAACGCCTGCCCGGGAGGAGGCGCTCCAAGAATGCCTGGCGGATTCGACGGGCGAAGATGCGCGCTGGCGCCTCTCCCAGGGAATCCTAGAAACTTGGATCCCATCAGCTTCCCCCCCCCCCCCGCCATTTTACAGCTCCGGACATTGAGTCCCTGACCAGCCTCTTGCCCCGCGGGCGCCCACTGCATACTGACCGGCCTTGATCTCGGATGCGGTGTCCTCCTTCCCTTCATTGATTTCCATGGAGCTGCTGCGGCGCAGCTTCCGGCTGGCCTTGTCCCCCTCGTCCAACGAGCGGCGCCCCTGGCCGTACCAGCCGCGGGTGTGGCTGATGCTGCGGCCCTCCGCGTCAAAGTTCCCGCAGACGTCGGACAGCGGCGTGTTCAGCTCGGACTGCGACAGCGTGGCCGTGGTCCACAGGTCCCGAATGTCGCTGTACAGGCTCTCCTTGCTCTCCTTGTCCGAGCCATGGCGGTCCGAAGGCTTGAGCGACACCTGTGGGCCACATACAACGAGAGAAGCCAGGGGTCGCGGGTGGCTGGGGCGGGAAGGAAGGGCGGGCTGGGGGCGGGGATCTGAGCCGGGCCCGGGCTGGGGCCCCGTCGAGCGTGAGGTTGGGTGGGGGCTGCGGGAAGCCCAGGCTGAGTAAGAAATCGCGCCACAGCCCGTGTCGGACCAGGAGTGGGTTGGGAGCTGACAAGGTAAGGGGCACGGGGAGAGGTCTTACTTTCGAAGGCTTTTCCTCCATGGTTCTGCCCCTACGGACCCAGACGCCACAGGCCTCGGGACGAGGAGGAGGAGGGGTCAACGTTCCAGAAACAGGGCGGGGCAGGGTCTCTCGCGCCAGGAGAGTTCAAACGACAGCCCTCCACGCGAGAGGCCGTTTTCTCTCTCCTGCCTCTATCCCGCCCCGCACCCCGCACGCCCAGTGTGTGTGCGGAGGCTGGAGACGCGAGGCCCATCCCGGCTGATCCCCACGCGGGACCCTACCCAGCCGCCTCCATGCAGTGACGCAGGCCTGAGCCCAGTCGAGAGGGCCGAGACCTGACAGACCTGGGTGCCTGGGACCCTCGGCCTGGGGGTCACGGGAGGCCAGAGGTGCCCCCACTGTGTGGCCCGAGGAAAGCACTCCCACACCCACTCGCGTCCGGGAGCGCTCACGCCCGCAGCGGTGCAGACCGTTTTCATTTATTGATGCAGGCTTTGAGGCACAGTCGTGAGGTGCTGTGAGGGACATGCCCGCCCAGGGCAGCGACACAGAAAGCCTTGGGGGATCTGGAGATGGATGGAAGTGAGGAAAGGGCCGGGCCCGGGGGGCGGCAGAAAGGCAAACGTCGCCCCTTCCCCAGGCTTGAGTCCCATGGAAAGAGAGCTCTTTGGTCAAACAAGCCAAGCATGCCGGGGAGCAGGAACGAAGCCCTTGCGAGGCCCGGGCCGGGGATCCTGCCCCTACACCGGCACGTCTTTGTCTCGGGGACGCCCGGGGCCACGGGGCCGCACGGGCTTCCTGGGGGGATTGGGGCGGCGGCGACCCCGAGGCGCGCGGGGCAGGGGGCAGCCGCGCTCGCTCTGAGTGTCCGAGGACTCATCGATGAAGGCCAGGTTCTCGCTGGGATAATCCAGGGCCGAGGCTGTGGGCGGCGAAGGGGGCTGAGCCTTCTCTGGGGGCGAAGGGGATCGGGGCCTGACCAGCGGCTGCGCTGGACAGGGCGGTGGAGGCAGCAGTGGCCGCTCCTTCTCCAGCGGAGGGGCTGCGGGCCCAGCTCGCTGGGTCACACGCGCCGTCACCGTGCCAGTCCAGCTGGCAGCCTGCGCCGTGAGGCCACCCATCTGCACAGAGAGGAAGCAGCCCTCGACTGGAGCTCTTAGACTATCCTCCGAGCCCCCCGGGAACCTGCCCCTTCACCAGCAGGGATCAAGCCCCAACCCTCCTTTCTGCCTGGCTCTCCAGCCTAGGCAAAATCCAAATCGCCCAGCTAAATATGAATTTCACAGAAACAAAATTTTAGCTGAATATATCTCATGCAATTCTTGGGACATGCTTTATATTGAAATTGCATTATTTATTTGAAACTCAAATTTAACTGAGCTTATTTATTTATTTGGTGAGACCAGGGCTCACTCTGTCCCCCAGGCTGGAGTGCAGTGGTGCAATCATGACTCACTGCAGCTGTGACCGCCCCTGGCTCAAGTGATCCTCTCACCTCAGCCTCCTGAGTAGCTGGGACTACAGGAACACACCACCACTCCAGGCTAATTTTTTTTTATTTTCTAGAGGCAGGATCTCACCCTGTTGCCCTGTCTGGCTTTCTGCATTTTTTATTTGCTAAATCTGGCAATCCTACCCATGAGGGCAGAGGTGAAGTTACCCACACATGTATACCCCTGTGTTCCCTTCAGGGCACACACAGAGGCTCCCTCGGCCCCTGCCTCAGGGGCCCAAGCCCTGGAAGGAAGACAGCCTGCACGACCCCCTGCTAGGGTACAGCACATTTGCACCACAGTGTGTAGGCGCAGTGCCAACCCAGGGGCGCCTACCTCTGCCCGAGTGCGGCGGGACACTACTCGCAGCCAGTTCCCGATGGTGGTGAGCACTGAGGCGAAGTAAGCCAGGCCGAGCAGGATCCAGAACCACACCAGTGGCTGGTAGGCTGGAGAGTCCTGCCTGGGGTCCGCGCCTGGGATACCACCAGTGAAGGCGGAAAGACTTGGACTTGGAAGAAGGCTGTGAACCCCGGTTCACTGCCCCCTCCCCAGCTCCTGGAGAGGACCTCCCCTCCCTAGGTCAATGGGGATGTACTTAAGTGTGTAAGTGCAGGTAGGAACACGAGTGGTGTGCATGAGTTGAAAGTGTACAAGATGAAAGCGTGCGAGAAAAGGGGTGCCCTGTGCAAGAATGTGACACGTGTGAGGGGTGCATTTGACATATGTGTGAGTGTGCATGGGCCTCAGGCATATAAGAATGTGAGGGTGCATGAAGGCGCTGGCATGTGTGCAGGAATGTGATGGTGCATTCCATGATGGATGCAGGGGTCAGAGCTACCACATGGGATTTGGAGGGAAAGGCCAGAGTGCGGAGCCCTGAACAGGAATTAGGTAGATGGGAAAGTGCAGCACCAGAAGGGCGGCCTCACCGGCCACATAGTCGCCAAAGCCCACGGTGGTAAGCGTCACTATGACAAAGTAGATGGCCTCCAGCTTGCTCCAGTCTTCCATATAGCAGAACACGAACGTGGGTGTGAGGACAAAGAGCAGGCAGCCGATCAGCAGGAAGAGCATCGCCGACAGCACTCGCACTAGCTCCGGTGGCACGTGCCACTTCTGCGGGGAGGGGCAGTAGGCAGGACCCAGGAGACACCAACCATCCCCACTCCCATACTACCCACTCCCACCCCCCAGGAGTCTGTGGGGAGGCTTATGGTCTAGGAGACGTGCTCATGTGCCAGGGACGTGGGGAAGGGTAGCCAGAGCCCAGCACAAGGGCAGGCAGGGCATGGAGCAGCTCACCAGGAAGATGGCTTCAATGTGACCGATGCCACGGCGCAGGGAGGAGCCCAGCCGGTCCCCAACCCCTGCCAGTAGGATCCCAAACAGCGGAATCCCCACCAGCGCATAAAAGATGCAGAAGAGGCGCCCAGCATCTGTGCGCAGGGCCACATTGCCATAGCCTGGGCAGAGGGGCGATGCAGGAAGTCTAGGGACTGCCTGGGACCCCTCCGTCTCCCTGCACCTTCCCCCATGAGGAGGCTCCTTGCCCGCCCCCACATGCCAATCCCCTCCCCCACCGATGGTGGTGATGATGGTCCCCGAGAAAAAGAAGGCGCTGCCCAGGTCCCAGGCTGAGTGGCTGCTGTTACTGGTCGAGTTGGTTTCTGGGTCTGCACCCCCTCCCAGGGCATCAGCCACCTCCTGTGGGATAAGGTGCAGAAGGAGGAGCTTCAGTTTTCCCTCCTGCTTAGGCCAACTCGTGGCCCCTCCAGTCTCTAGGGTGGCTCCCTCCCTGCTCCTCGGGGTTCTCCCCTTCCCTCTGGTCTCCCAGGAGGCAGTCCCTTATGGCAGAGGATGCAAACTGGGTCCAGTCTACCTACAGGCAAGTTTGTTTGACCTCTACAATGTTTGAGAAACATTTGTGGCATCTGGCCCCTAATTTCAGGAAACAGAGTTCCAATTTTACCAATTTTACCATGGTCAGGAGCACAGACCCTGGGACCAGGCTGCCTGGGTTCAAATCTTGGTGCTATGGGACCTTGGGCAAATTAACTCTCTGGCCTCAGTTTTGACATCTCTCAAGTGGGGATAATAGTGACAGCATCTGCCTCCCAGATTTGTTGTGAACTGGCAACAAAGTAAGCACTGACTGTTAGTAAGTTAGCAAGCAGTGCCTGCACCCTGTGCTTCCAGCTTTGAACCCACCACTCCCATTGCACCTACGGAAGCTGACTTTGAGTCCCTTTCCTTAGAAAATCTCATGAAAGCTAGGGACTTTCTCTCCAGGAAGGTTTATATGCCATGAAATTTTGCTTCCAACATTGAGGAAGTTCATAGGCACACACATAAACACAAACATCACACCCCTGCCGAAGTCCAAGCCAAGCCTTGCTGCATTGTAAATAATATTTAGTGAACACCTCTCAATAAGTATTATTTTTTTCAGGCTAGTCAAGTGAAGCAGTGGGAGTGGAGAAAGAGGGAAGAAATCTGTAACTGTTATGACACCACTGTACTTGCACCAGCTGATACAGATTACTAAATGAATATAATGTCTCTATTTGGACTTCTCCCCCTCTCACCAGCATGCAGATCCCGTGGGCAGGGTCTATTTGGAGAGTGCTTGCCCTAAGTGAGAGGAAGCCAGAGCAGCACAGAAACAAGGCATAAGAAGGAAGTCTGTGGGGCATATCCTAAAGCGCCCCTCCTAATGTGGCTCCTCAACGCCCTCCTAGCTCCCCACTCCCTGCCTAAACTCCCCAGGCCAGCATTCAAGCCCTTTTTTTTTTTCTTTTTTGAGACAGAGTCTCGCTCTGTTGACAGGCTGGAGTACAGTGGCGTGATCTCAGCTCACTGTAACTTCCCGCCTCCCTGGTTCAAGCGATTCTCCTGCCTCAGCTTTCCGAGTAGCTGGGACTACAGGCACACACCACCACACTCAGCTAATTTTTGCTTTTTTTTTTTTGGAGGCAGAGTTTTGCTCTTGTCGCCCAGGCTGGAGTGCAATGGTGAGATCTTGGCCACAACCTCTACCTCCCGGGTTTAAGCAATTCTCCTGCCTCAGCCTCCTGAGAATTTTTGCATTTTTAGTAAAGACTAAGATGCATGTTGGCCAGGATAGTCTTGATCTCTTGACCTCGTGATCCGCCCACCTTGGCCTCCCAAAGTGCTGGGATTACAGGCGTGAGCCACCGCGCCTGGCCTTGAGCCCTTTTTTTCAAACTGGTCCCGACCTTCCGCCCCCAGTCTTCTCCTGGGACTCCAATTTGGCACCCCATGTTACAGCCACCTTCACCCCAGATTTTCTGAGATATTTCCAGTTTCTGTATAAAAAAGCAAGAAAAGAAATAGCTAAAAGTTATTTAGTATGTATTTTGCAACACTTTTCCCATAAATTCATGACTTCAGGGAAAAATCCTTCGTCATTCTGTGTATTCTAATTTTTGCTTCAAATGACTAGGCACCTGCTAACTCCAGGTTCTGCAAAACGCCCTGGAACTTTCCTGCTTCCACGCCTTTGCTCATGCTGCCTCTCCGCATGGGCGTCTCTTGCCCCTGGTCTCTACACTCTACCCCTGTTGCCTGGTGCATTTGAATTGCCAGCTTCTCCCTCAGGCCCCTGCCATCCCCCTCCTCGTCCCCAGCACCTAGCTCAAGGCCCACACAATTGGTGCTTAACAGAAAAAGGGAAACTTCCTTTCCACTGAATCCTATAGTGATCTCTGACCATGGATCTGTCCCCTCACCTATATGTGACACCTTCCGAGGCAGACCCAGTGTCTGATCCACCCCAATATCCCCTTGGCGTATAACACTACAGCACCTAGAACACAGTAGGTGCACAATTGCTGCACAACTAATTCAGGGAGTGAATCTTACTGTGGAAGAGAAATAAAGCCGCTGTCACCCCACCCTTCTAGGTCCTGTCTCTCCTTTTCTTCCTTCTTATCCAGGAAAAAAGCAATTCCATTGTGAGGACAAACTAGGTCAGATTCCCTCCCTCCCTCCCTCCCTCTGCCCTGTAGTCCAGCCAGACACATTCTTCCCAGGCCTCTCTGAACCTCCGATGGCATTCTGGAAGTGTCAGAGACAATGTTGGGTGGTCTGTGTCCCAGCCCCACCCCACACTCATCTCTGCCCTGAGTCCTGCTACCTTGGGAATCAGCTGGAACACTGAGGCCTCCGTGCCAACAGCCCCTCCCTCCACAAAGAACAGGCAGGGAACAAAGGGTACTGTTCAATGTTAAGTAATAGACATGAATTTATTAAAGCTAAATCTTAATTTTTTTGAATGACAGTGACTCCGAAATCAGAGAAAGCAACAGAGGTGCTTGCCTGACTGTACCCCCGAAGGCTGCAGCCCAACACTTGCTTGAGTCACTGGTTGGAGGCCGACCAGAAGTGCCTCGGGGAACCCTGAAGCGCCCCACTTCTCCCCACAAGGTAAGCATGCATCATGGGGGGAAGGGGTGCCTGACCTGCCATCCCTGGTGGCATGGATCCTGGAACCCTCTGAAATCATCTGCATACGTTCATATGCACTCTTTTCCAGGGGGAGGGGGTGAGTTCACTATGTTCTTGGCTTTTCTAAGGTGCATGACTCCAAAAATGTATGGAGACCGGTGTAAGTAGAGTTGCCAGATTTAGCAAACAAAAATATTGCACGGATGGACTTGTATTAAAAAGGTAATTGTGGGCCAGGCTCAGTGACTCAGGCCTTCAATCCCAGCATTCTGGGAGGCCGAGGTGGGTGGATCACTTGAGGTCAGGAGTTCGAGACCAGCCTGGCCAACATGGTGAAACCCCGTCTCTACTAAAAATACAAAAATTAGCCAGGCGTGGTGATGCATGCCTGTAATTTCAGCTGCTCAGGAGGCTGAGGTAGGAGAATCTCTTGAATCTGGGAGGGAGACGTTGCTGTGAGCTGAGAGTAAGCGACTGCACTCCAAGCTGGGCAACACAGGGAGACTCCATCTCAAAAAAAATAAAAAGGCATCTGTGGTCTAACTGTAATTCACATTTAAATAATAGTCCTGGATCTTATGTGGCAATCTACACCGGTGAGACCTGTGCAAATGTAACATTCGCTATGGCCATTCACTCATTCATTCATTCATTTCCCCCTTATCCCACCTCCATCACACTCTGAAGGAGACATCGTACACAGTCCTATGCCAGGCCCTCCAGGGAAAACAAATGACCCCACAACTGCCCTATTGAAAACACAGAGACCTGGACCCCAGCCTCTGCCCCACAGCCTCCCGCTGCATCCCGACCTCAGGGATACTGGTCTGAAAGCAGCACCAGCACAGGGTCTCACTGGCACGCAGCCAGTGCCAGGGGTGATGGGTGACAGCTGAAGGGGCTGTGGCTCACCCACGCACCTTGATGAGGAGGCCCAGCTCCTGGTCGCTCACACACGGATGGGCCCTCAGGAACTTCTCTCGGACCTCCCCCAGCTCCCTCTGGGCCTGTTGCTCGTGGGGCTGCTCCAGGGCCCGGAACACCAGGGCACCAGACACCAAGTAGAGCAAGACCAGCGCCAGCAGGGCCAGGAGCGTGGTGCTGCGCATGGCGCGCCCAGGGGCTGGGCCAGTTCCACTGCCCGCCTGGAGGGGCTGGGCTGGGGGCTCCTGGGGAGCTGTCGTCACTGCGGGCAAAACCAGGGATTCTGGGGTCACTGAGTTGGCCTGACACCCACACCCTCCTCCTCGATCCCCTACACACCCAAAGATCCAGAAAGCCCCCAGCCGCACTGTCCACAGATATCCCTCTGGCTGGACACACCCAGCCCCCTCCAATCTCCAGCCTCCCCCTTACCTCCGCTGCCCGGCTCCCGGGTGAGGGAGGAGAAGAGGGCACCGGGAAGGGAAAGAAAGGCGAGTGGGAGGCCGAAAGAACCTAAGCCTGCCTAGGGGGAAGCGGGGCGAGCAAGGATATGTGGGGAGCTTGGCGAGGTTCGGGAACTGGCCCTCAAGGAAGAGGCTGAGGGGCTCAGAGGCGTCCGAAGGGAAACCCGGAGGAGAGGCCGGACCGCGCAGGGCGGGGACAGGGGAATGGCGGGTCTCGGCTCTCCCGCTGCAGCATCTCCGCGGCTTTTCCATCCCCTCTCGCCTCGCTCTGCTTCCCGGCTGTCCCTCCAGGATGCCCCCGCGCCCCACCGGGCTTTCGAGGAACCCAAGAGCGGGTCCTGGCAGCTGCGCACAGGCGAGGAGGGGTGCGGGAGACGCCCAGTTCCCAGAAGAAGCGGGGCGGGGGTCCTCAAAGGCCACACCCGGGCGGCAGCCACCGGGACAGCTGTCAGCCCGGGACCGCGGGCGGCGGCGCCCACGCGCACACACGCCCCGGCACGCGCCGCCCCGCACGGGCACAAAGACCCGCGCGCCCACGCTCCACCCCGAGGCTGCAGAGCCGCGCCGCCCAGCTGCACGCACGCACCCCACCTGCACACTCCGCAGACGCCCCGGCACTCCCGGCCCCCACAGGCGTGCGGGCCTCGCTAGGGCACCCAGAGCCCACGCACACGAGTGCGGACACTCGCGTGGAGACGCCAGACCGCAGGGCCACCTAGCAGCGCCCGCCGCTCGCTCCCACCGCCTCCCCCCGCGTCGGCACAGCGACGCCTGCCTCGGAGCCTGACGGGCGGCGGGACCCCAGCCACACCACTCCCGGAGGCGCCCACACGTGGGAGGTGGGCACCCCACCGGCCCGTCGCCCCCTGGTCGCCCCTGCCCCGGAGTCCTGCCCGCACCGCAGAGCCCACCCCGCACTTACTGTCTGCCCCGCTGCGGTTGCGGCTGCGGCCCGGGCTCCCGCACGGCCTCGCCGGTGCCGACTGGGCCGCGGAGGCGGCAGGGGCGGAGCGGCCGGCCGCCGGGGCTGGGACCCCCCCTCCCGCCGGCAGAAGCCCCCCTCTTCCCGCAGTTAACCCTTCCAGTGCCGCGTTTCCCTCCGTGCCGCGCCCTCGCCGCCAGCGCCACCCCAAGCCCTTTACCTGCGGCCGCCGGGCTCCCCGGTCCCGGCCAGTCCCGGGAGGTGGGTGGCAGAGGAGCCGGAGAGGGGTTGCAGCTGGGGTCAGCCTTCTAGTCTTGGACCGGAGCCCAGTGTGGCCAGCGGCAGGGCCCCAACCTGGGCATCAGTTGGCCCACCTCTCCAGACAGGCACCACGCTAATCTGGCATCTCCCACGCCCATTACGGGATCGAGAAGGGCCCGTATCTCTCCGCCCCTGGGGACAGCTTGGCCCTTGGGCTCAGCACTCATGAGGGACAAACCCGCGGGACAAAAGCGTGGGGGAAACCCGGTGAGGCCACCTGGAATTGGCCGACGTGGAGGTTGGGACCCACCTCTGGGGAGTCGCTGCTGGAGCACCTCCTGCCCCCACTCCAGTGTTTGGCCCTCTCCCTGCTCCCTCCCCCAGCTTTTGGTCCTCACTTCCATGCCCAGAAGTCAGCCCCAGAAGGCTGGAGCTGGAGCTGCCAGCAGATCCCAGCATGGCAGTGGTGCCAGCATCCGCTCTCCCACTGCCTGAACACCCAGGCCCTGGCTAGTCCCGAACTTGCCCCACCCTGTTCTCACCCACTTTACAACCTTTGATCTCTCCAAAGACCCTCTGGTGCCTGCTGGAGTCCTCAGCCCTCCTGGTGGATGGCATTCAGCCTGGGCTTTAAGGCTGACCACCCCCTACTGGTAGGGAACCTGGACAGGTCACCGAACTCTGGAGGCTCCCTGTTCCCACTTACAGAAAAGGGATGACTGATCATCACTTGGGGGTGCTGTTCTGGGCATGAAGGAGGTCAGTGTTTAGAAATGCTCAAAACAGAGGCTGGCACGCACAAAAAAGGGCCCCACAAACGTCAGTAGTTTTCCTTTCAACAAAAAGTGATTGTCCAGCTTCAAGCTGATTCTCTGAGGTCTCAGATGCCCTCTTTGGTGGCCCTGTGGGCCTGGTGCCCAGGATAGTCCCAAGTAAAGGGTTTTGAAGCAGCCCCAGTGATACAAGCCAAGGGAACTCTGAAAAGTTGGGACAACCACTATGTAGGCAGGGGACAGACCCTCCAGTAATGGACTCCCAGCCATCGGACAGACCTGCCAGGGCCATGGGAGCAGAGGACAGTGACGATGCTACTGAGAACAGTGGAGAAGAGGGCCACCTGTCCATCTGGGCAAACCCACACCCTGGTAGGAAGATGGGAGCTGCTTAGTCACATCAACTCCCCAGGGAGCCCTGGACTCACTTCTGGCTCCTAAAGAGCAGGTCAGGGTGGTGAGAGGGAAACAGGGGCTTCCAGAAAGTCTCACCCATTGGGGTTAAGACTCAGTAACTGCCAGGCATGGTAGCTTGTGCCTGTAATCCCAGCAGTTTGGGAGGCTGAGGTGGGTGGACTGCTTGAACCCAGGAGTTCAAGACCAGCCTGGGCAACATGGTGAAACCCCACCTCTAAAATTAAAAATAAAAAAACAAAATTAGTCAGGCATGGTGGGATGAGCCTGTGGTCTCAGCTACTCAGGAGGCTGAGGCAGGACTGCTTGAGCCCAGGAGGTTGAGGCTGCAGTGGGCCATGATTGTGCCACTGCACTCCAGCCTGGGTGGCAGAGTAAGACCCTATCTCAAAAACAAAAACCTCAATAGCCATATAACCACAGTAATGTGGGGCTGTGGGGCCCAGCAGAGGGCCCGAGGCCCCTGACCAGGAGACAGAAGGCTTCTTAAAGGAGGTGACAGTTGACACAGGTCTTGAGGAAAAGGTAGGAACTGCTTAAGTGAAGAAGGATCTGGAGTGAGTGGGGCAATTCTGGGCCAGGAGAGCTTTGAGAACGGAGGCCTGTGTGGTCTCCTTCCCCTGCAAACTGCAGGCCCCTCCTCTCCCAGCCCACCAGCCTTGATGGGGTAAGTGGCCCCTGACCAGCCTAGCAGCCCACTGCAAGGGCCAGTGTCTGCTCAGCCTTAGGCCAAACAGGCAAAAGTGATGGGGCACATGGCAGATGACAGACAGGTGCACAACCGTGGGGTGGAGACACTGTTTATTGAGTGGCAGGCACAGGAAAGGCAGCTGGCTCCGGTGTAGAAGGGGCGGCAGGTCATGCCAGGGCGCTGTGGGCATCTGGCAGCCAGGGCCACGCCCCCATCCTAGGGGGATGGCACAAGCTCACTATGACAGGAGCAGCAAGGAGCCGGCCAGAGGAGGGGGCAGTCACGACCCCCAGGTTCCTGGGCAAGAAGTGGCAGATGAACTTGGCACAGGGGCCTAGGGTGAGGGGGACTGGGGCCTGGGTATTCTGTGGGGAGAGAGAGGGGGATCACGTCTGTGGGGTGGAGTAGAGACTGTGGTGGTGGCCGCCTGGTCCTGGAACCTGGGAGAAGAGCAGAGGAGTGGTCTTCGTCTGGCTGCCCCCATACCAGCCTGGCTCACGCCCGATGGTGCCATACCAGCTCCCAGAGCCTAGGCTGCCCGACATGCTGCAGGCAGAGAAACAGGGTCAGTCTCAGGACAGTGACCAGGGCCAGTCACAAGAGCTGCAGGAGGAAGAGAGGCTCAGAACACAACCCCTGTGACCTACACCTTCGGGGCTCAGGCTGAAGTGCACCTCTAGGCAAGGGGTGGAGGCTTTAGCAACAGAAACCAAGGGGACCTCACCTAGTACAGATGGGGACGCAGAGGCCATGGCAGGGCTCTCTCGGTCCCCCGTAGCTCAATGGAGCCAGGCGGGGGTCCAGGGGTGCTGAGGTGGTGCCAGGGCTCCTACCTGGTGCTCTCACCCCGGCTGTGTTCCCAGGAGCAGCCCTCGTCCTCACAGTGCCCAGCCCGGTCGAAGAAGTAGGACCGGGAGGCAAAGACCTGCCCGTTGAGGATGTGGCTGGTGCTCTGGGGGAGGAAGCATCAATACTTACTCCTGTCCCGCACTGGCCTCACCTGTCCCCAGGCCCCAACCCCAGGATTCCCAGCATCTGCCCCTCTCCACCAGCCCCGCAGAGGAGGGTGCAGACCCTTACCAGGTCCTGTGGGGGCCGGTGCACCCGGAAGAAGCCCACCAGCAGGGTGGTTGGCAGCAACTCCCACACGAAGAGGATGAGGCCAAACACTAGGTAGCCTTTGTTCCCCAGGTCATTCACCAGGTCCGCCTGTGGGAAGGCAGGGGCTTGTGCCAGTCTGCAGTCACGCCAAAGGGGCAGTGGGACAGGGCCCAGGCCAGCTGGGGACAAGGTCCCACAGCTACTAAGGAGGCAGCCGACTGCGTATGCCCACCTGATCAGACACATTGTACCAGTCGTAATCGAAGGTGTCCAGACGGCTCTGGGGGGCCAAGGCCAGTGCTGTCAGGTTGTAGCAGGCCCGGCTGGCATAGAGCAGGACCATGGCACCACCCATGGCGGCCGCCTGGCACACACTGGTCCCCTGGCACAGGTAACAACAGAGGACTCTCAGGGAGAGAAGGCTCCCAGCTTCCTCTATACCCTATGAACCCAGAGACCCCAAAGTACACCTGGGCATCAGTGCTGTGGCCCTACCTTGGCCTCCAGATAGATGCTAGTGGAGGGGGCCCGCCTGGCGACAAGGCAGAGGCAGGCAGCAAGAGACAGCGCACAGATGACGAACAGGGAGTCGCTCACCAGGACTCGGACAAGCAGCAGGGCCCAGGGCTGTGCCCGGCGCCGGTGGGAGAGCACAGCACACAGCACGTTCACCAGCAGAAAGAGCAGCGAGGCCCCCACAAAGGCCCCTCGGACGGCCAGCCTGCAGCCACAGCACAGTCAGCCCCGACCCACGGCACTCACCACCTGCCCCACCTCCTGCAGGAAACCCCAATGTCCACCGCACTCAGAGCATCAGGTCTGAGTCCTGTTCCTCCACTCTTACAGATGGGGAAACTGAGGCCCAAAGAGGTCAGACGGTGTACTAACTGGAGACAGAAGTCTCGGTCTGAGCCCCAGCTCTGCGACCTTGATCCTGCTGCCTTACCTGGCTGGGCCTCAGTTTCTTCATCTCTCGAGGGAGGATAACTCAGGGAAATTGTACAAATGAAAGATGGCTGGAAAAGCTCTTTATAAACCATAAGACACTGGATAAATGACGGGTGCATTGGGGCCCAAGGTCACCCAGGAGTGCATATGGCTTTGGTTCTTCCATGGCTGGAGCCTCCAGCTCACCCTCCGCGACGGATGACACCGGGACCCTCTCCCGCACTACCACGCCCATTCCCATTCTTGTGCCTTGCAGATCTATCTGCAACGCCTCTGCTGAGCCATCTGTGCCAGGCTCTTCCACAGACATTCCCTGGGTTCCCCTCGTCTCAGCCCTGAGAGGCGGGAAGGGATCTATATGGGACTGTCCCCTGCCCCTGACCTGGAGGCTGGGCCCACCAGTGTCCCCAGTACTTACAAGCCTCGGCTCATCTCTGGCCGACGCTTTGCCTTGGCCTTGAACACCACCTACGAGCAGAGATGCCCTTCACTCCTGTTGGTCCTTGAGGCTTGCCACCGCCCACCCCCCACCCAGGATCACAGTTGGTTACCTGGGCAAAGTAGAGGTTCATAAGCGTCAGGGTGAAGAACTGCAGGCAGACAGGGCAGCAGTAGAGAAGCCAAAAGGGCAAGGGCCCCAGGCGGTTGGCTCGGGGAGTATCTCGGAAGTAGAAGGAGAAGAGGGTGGTACGCAAGGCAGCCCAGAGCAGACAGAGGGCCAGGAACACCGTCTGATAGCTGAGACGCTTGTGCCCATACAGGAGCACCAGCCAGAGCTGGGCATAGACGGAGAAGAAGAGCAGGGCATACAGGGTGGTGTAGGCGGCTGTCAGCCCCAGGGTCACAGCAGGTGGCAGCGCAGGCACCAGCCCGGCAGCAGGCACCAGGCCAGACAGGTTACTCTCCATGTCAGGGAGGGAGGCCTGAATCCCTGAGACAGAGAAGGAGGGGCTGTCGGCGGGGCCAAGGAAATAAATACGGAGGGGTGGGAATTGCAGGGTGCAGAGAGGGAGATGGGGCGCTCAGGAGGAAAGAAGTTGTGGCTGACAGACCTCTCCTCCTCAACAGAGAGACCCCTGCCCTTGGGGAACATGGGCAGCCTGGGCCCCAGGCCCCTCACTCAGGGGCATGGAAGGGCAGTTTCTTCTCTCCAGGGCAGATCGGTTGAGGGTTGGTGGTGTCTCCTCCCTGGGCCTACCCCAGAGCCAGTGATGGAGGGAAGCAGAGGCCCAAGGAAAGGAGTCCCTGGCCTGAATCGCTCGTGTCGTCCTGGCTGGAGGGGGAGAGCCGGCCGATGCCCGTTGGCCCAGGGCAGCGGCCGCTATCGGGGGCGCCCAATGCCCCGCTCTCCCCCTCCCCAAGTTGGGGGAGGCTCTCTCCTCCAATAATGCGGATGGGGAGAGCCTCTGCCTTCTGTCCTCGGAATTCTCGGAGGCTGCCCCCGCCCCACCCCTCCACCGCGTCCACTCTCCAGCGTCAAGGGGCGGGAGGAGGCGGATGCCAGGTCCTCAGGCCGCTGCTGGGAGAGCCGGCTCAGATCGTGGGGACCCGGGGCTCCGGCTCCCCGGCTCCCGCTGCTCCGCCCCCTCCTGCGCCTGCGCGGGCGCCGTTCGCTACGCAAATTGCGCAGGGGCCGGGCTGGCTCCGCAGTCTAGCGCCGCACCCGGCGTGGAGCCGTTCGAGAATTGGCACGAGCTGCGCCGCTGGCGGGCGCCCGGGGTTACAGGAGGCGGCAGGCGGGCGGCCGAGTTGCGGGGGACTGTGCCGCACACAGGGGACCCCCGGGTAGGCCGCGCCCCGGGCCGCCAGCCTTTACTAGTTCGGGGGGCCGCCAGTTCCCACGCTTCTCTCCCCCATCCCCAAATTGGGGTCTTGCCTCCCGGCCGGGGACAACGAATCCCCGACCCTCGGTCTCTAAAGAAAACTTCCGCCCATAGCCAAGATGGCTTCCGGGCCCCGCCCCCGGGTCTGAACCCGCGGAGCCCCGAATCCCCCGCGCGGGCCCGCCCCCCGTCCTGGCGCGCCCGCGGCCCCGCTCACCTGGCCTGCCGCCTGCCAGGCGCGAAGCCCCCGCGGGCCCTACGGTCCACCCTCACTGGGTCCCCGGCCCTCCTCCCGCGCCCGGGCAGCCATCCCAGCCAGGGAGGAGGTTCCCTCCCTTATCTCCAGTGCCCCCGAGATGGCGCGGGAGGTGTCCCCCGAGGCGGGCGGCGCGAAGCTTCCACGCCTGGGAGGAGGAGCGGGGAACGGGACTTTCCGACCGGGTCACCCAGTCCAGGCGAAGCAGTAACAATAGCAACAATAATCGCATCCGACGGCTGAGCTTCAGTTGCGGCTGTGCCGAGCGCCTTCGCCCGTAGTAATCACTCCTTTCACAAAGTTTTCACTGGCTCCCGGGAGAGCTGTCACCATCCCCTCTTCACTGGAGGTAAACTAAGGCCCAGAGGGGCTGAAGGACTTGTCTGCAGAAGCAGGTCTCCAGGTTCCAAATGGGGACCCCAGAGAATCCCTCTCCTGCTCCTACACACATCCAAGGTGTGAGGCAGTAGGGATGTGAGAACCCGGGCCGCGGGAGGTAGGAAAAAGGCGGTGGGCTAGGAGGTCGGGACGAGGGGGGGCGGGGCCGGGCCGGGTTGACCCCGCCTCTGGACCTACCCGAGTGACGTTGCGAGAGGTGATTGGGGCAGGTCGCTGACAGTTCCCGTTGCCCAGGCAACTAGGGCCGGGAGCCCGGTTGCAGGAGGGAGGCGGCAGGCCCGGGTCAGGGGCCTCGAGATCGGGCTTGGGGTGAGACCTGTCCGCCGTCACCACGGGCGGGGCGGGACCTGGGTAGGCCCCTGGGTAGGGGCCTGGGTCCACCAGGGTTCTGACGGGAGACTGAGGTCCTGAGCCGACAGCCTCAGCTCCCTGCCAGGCCAGACCCAGCAGACAGATGAGGGCCCGGGAGGCCTGGCGGGCTTCGGGGCGCCAGGGTGGGAGAGGGAGCCAGGGGCACCTGCCTCTGCCTTCCAGGACCACCGTTGGCCCCAGCTGTGCCTTGACTACCTAACATCTTGTCCTCACAGCCCAGAGCATGTTCCAGATCCCAGAGTTTGAGCCGAGTGAGCAGGAAGACTCCAGCTCTGCAGAGAGGGGCCTGAGCCCCAGCACCGCAGGGGACAGGCCCCCAGGCTCTGGCAAGCATCGACGCCAGGCCCCAGGCCTCCCGGGGGACGCCAGTCACCAGCAGGGACAGTCAACCAGCAGCAGCCACCATGGAGGTGAGTTCCCCTCCGCCTCCACCTGCTGGGTCGCCTCACTTCCAGCCCATTGGCTCCCTGCATCCCAGCTGCATCCACACGCACTGAAGGCTTCGGGGCAGTCCCCAACCTCTCAGAGCCTCAGTTTCCTCTTTTGTAAAACAGAGCAATTAATCACCACCATTGTAGGACTGTTGGGTTAATTAGCAGGAACATATAGGATTCACTTGATTACAGAGCTGGTGCACATTAAAGTGGCAAAATGGCAGCTGCTGGGCCTGGTGGCTCACACCTGTAATCCCAGCACGTGGGGAGGCCAAGGCAGGAGGATCGCTTGAGCCCAGAAGTTCAAGGTGAGCCTGGGTGACATAGGGAGACTCCATCTCTTAAAATACATACATATATATATAATGGGTAGCTATTAGTGTGGGGCCAGGATAGAAATCAGTGACAGGCAGGCAGTGATGCAAAAAGGAAAAGTGACTTGCCTAAGGTTACACTTGCCTGGGGTTTCCTTCCTTAGGAGGTGGGGCTGGAAGGCTCCTTGGTGCCCTGCCCCAGGCTATGTGCTTTCCCTGGGATTGGGCCTTCCAGCTCCCGGGTGTGTTGTCTTGTCCTGTGGCTCGCACCCACAGCAAGGCTGTCCTGGTACAATTGCCAGGAGCAGGTGACCTCAAGGGGCAGACAGTCCTCCCAGACAGCGGGGCTATGTGTGGTGGGGAGCACAAGCTGCAAGATGGAAGGATGAATGAACACTGGGGGTCACGGCCATTTCTCAATAGGCTCCACTACCTTGTGCCCAGCACTGGCCTGGAACAACAACAGATAATTTCGGAACAAAGAAACTAGGTCAATCCGGGTGGGGTGGCACATGTCTGTAGTCCCAGCTACTCAGGAGGCTGGCTTGAGCCCAGGGATTCAAGACCAGCCTGGGCAATTCAGCCAGACCCCATCTCTAAAAATAGAAAACTAGGTCAGGTCACTATTGCACTGAAGCTTAAACGACCTCCTCCCCATTTTCAGGATTAAGAAGGCTTAAGAGGCCTCCTCCCTCTCCCTCTCTTACCACACACACTCACTCCCTTCCTCAGATTGGACCCTATAACTTGCTTTTTTTCTCTTTTCTTTTTTTTTTTTTGAGACAGGGTCTCACTCTGTCATCCGGGAGGGAGTACAGAGGTGCAATCTCAGCTCACTGCAGCCTGGAACTTCTGGGCTTAAGTGATCCTCCTACCCCAACTTCCCAAGTAACTGGGAATACAGGTGTGTGGACCACACCCAGTTAAATTATTTTTCACTTTTTCTTTTTCTTTTTAAAGATGAACTCTCACTCTCTTGCCCAGGCTGGAGTGCTAGGCCTCCAGGTGCAAGCTAGGAGTTAGCTAGGACTTCAGGTGCAAGCCACCACGCCTGGCTAATTTTGTGTATTTTTAGTAGAGACAGGGTTTCACCCTGTTAGTGGGTATGGTCTTGATCCGACCCCGATTTAGCCTCCCGAAGTGCTGGGATTACACGCATGAGCTACCACCCTTGGCATTTTTCGCTTTTTCATTAGAGACGAGGGCAGGGATGGGGTCTCTTTCCCAAGCAGGTCTCAAACTCCTGGACTCAAACAATCCTCCTGCCTCAGCCTCCAGAAATAGCTGGGACCACAGGTGCATGCCACCACACCTAGCTAATTTTGTATTTTTTGTAGAGGTGGGGTCTTGCTTTGTTGCCCAGCCTGGTCTCGAATTCCTGGGCCCAAGTGATCCTCTCACCTCGGCCTCCCAGGGTGTTGGGATGACTGGCATGAGCTACATGTCCAGCCTCCACAGCTTTCTTTAGCTTCCTGAGCTTGCACTGGGCTGCTCTCCTGCTCACAAACTCCCCCATTCTCTGTCCCCACACACTCCACATTTACTCGCTCCATACAATCGTTGTTCTCCGTGTGACACAGGCTGTTCCGGTGGCTAAGGGGGACCTCAGTGAACCCAGGCGTCAGGAATCCTTGCCCTTGTGGAGCTTATATTCTGTTGAGGTGGAGAGGAGGGGCACAAAAGTGCATCCTGTCATTCGTGAGCAGATTTGTGTGGGGGCAGCGTGGAAAAGAGAGAATCTGGAGTCACAGGGGCTGGGGGAGTGATGGTAGCAGAGCGGGCAGCCAGCGCTCACCTTGCTGAGAGGCAACGCCGGAGCCAAGACCACAGGGATGTGGGGAGTGTTCCAGGCAGAGGGAAGGGCAGATACTAAGGCCCTGAGGGCAACACCTACTCCCAGCTAGGGTGGGCCTAGGGGAGGGTGTTTAGGAAAGGACACTTGGAGACCTGAAGTTGAAGGTCATTGTAAGGACTCTGGCTTTGCCTTTGAGTGAAAACCTGGAAAGGCTTTGGGCAGAGGCAGCATGGTCTGATTTAGACGTTCAGAGAGTCACCAGGGAGGTGGTGAGAAGTAGCTGGCCTCTGGATTTATTTTTAAAGCAGAGCTGGCAGGATCTGCTGATGGACTGGATGTGGGGTGTGAGGGAAAGAGAGGAGCCAGGATGATGCCAAGGAATTTTTAAAAAATTATTATTGGCTGGGTGCAATGGCTCATGCCTGTAATCCCAGCACTTTGGAAGGCTGAGGTGGGCAGATCATGAGGTCAGGAGTTCAAAACCAGCCTGACCAACATGGTGAAACCCCTATCTACTAAAAATACAGAAATTATCTTGCTGTGGTGGCATGCACCTGTAATCCCAGCTACTTATGAGGTTGGCGCAGGGGAATCACTTGAACCCGGGAGGTGGAGGTTGCAGTGAGTCCAGATTGCACCACTGCGCTCCAGCCTGGGCAACAGAGCAAGACTCCGTCGCAAAAAAAAAAGGATGATTGGCTGGATGTAGTGGCTCATGCCTATAATCCTGGCACATCCGGAGGCCGAGGCAGGCAGATCACTTGAGGTCAGGAGTTTGAGAGCAGCCTGGCCAACATGGTGAAATTCTGTCTGTACTACAGATACACAAATTAGCCAATGTGGTGTCACGTGCCTGTAATACCAGCTATTTGGGAAGCTGAGGCAGGAGAATCACTTAAACCCAGGTGGTAGAGGTTGCAGTGAGCTGAAATCATGTTGCTACACTCAAGCCTGGGCGGCAGAGTGAGATTCCATCTCAAAAAAACAAAAAATAAGGCTGGGCATAGTGGGTCAGGCCTGTAATCCCAGCACTTTGGGAGGCCAAGGCAGCGGGTCACCTGAGGTCAGGAGTTCAAGACCAGCCTGCCCAACATGGTGAAACCCCCATCTCTATTAAAAAAAAATACAAAAATTAGCCAGGCTTGGTGGTTCCAACCTGTCATCCTAGCTACTCGGGAGGCTGAGGCATGATCATTGCTTGAGCCCCAGAGACAGAGGTTGCAGTGAGCTGAGATCACACCATTGCACTCTAGCCTGGGCAACAGAGCAAGACACTGTTTCAAAAAACGAATGAATAAATAAATAATTACTACTTTTAGAGACAAGCTTTTGCTATGGTGGCCAGGCTGGTCTTGAATTCCTGGCCCCAAGTGATCCTCACACCTTGGCCTCCCAAAGTGCTGGGATTACAGGCACAAGCCACAGTGCCCAGCCAACACCAAGGAATCTGGCTGGAGCACTCAGTAGGATGAAGTTGTTCAAGGGAGAAAAAACACTGAAGGGTGGGGAGGATCTGGAGGCCACCCTAGAGGGTGGGCTAG